TAAATGTACGTATTTTAAAGCCGACCACTTTCAACAAGAGATTTTTACACGTTCTAAAAATAATAAGTAATAGAAAAATATGATAACAAATGGTAAAAATGTGTAATTTCATTTTTTAAATTGAAAGAGTTATTATTCATCACCTGTAATTATTCATAGACTACACTGTGCTACAAATTGCCAACCAGCTGATAGCTATTAGACAATCGGGGCCATGGCTTTTTATGTCTTATCTATGCTATAGATATGAAAACCAAACACGAGACTTACACACATGACAGTTAAAAGTATTTGGATTGAGTTGAATGTTGAAATGTTTGTGACTATGTTTTCTTGATTAAATCTTTTAGTTATTACAGGGTGCCATAGCAAAGAACTTGTTTGTGGCATGTAATTAGATTTTTTTCATAGAGTGGCAGCTATTATGAAGCATTGTATTAGTAAACATACAACAAGCTTTGTGTAATTAAAAACTATTAAATTATTTACAAATTGTTTAGTCTGGGTTGCAGTTTAAACAGTACTTTTAGTTAAGTGCAGTAATAACTTCAGTATTGATAGAAAAGTTTGTAATTTTATGACACAATCTGGCAATTATTGTACAATTTCCTGGTTGCCCAGTTGCTTGAATTCAATTTATCAATTAGATATAAATCACAATCTTCCGGATATGGTCAAATACACAATTTTTGATCTTATGGGTTTGTACTCTTTTTTGTTGTGCCCTGCCCAAATTTGGGAATCTTTAGCAATTCGCCAACACATGCCTAACCCAATTTAAAAGAGCTGTCAAATGTGTGTAGAAAACTAATCCTATTTTGTTGCTGGAATCCCTCCACTCTTAAATGTCTAACTGTCGCCGCTGCGGGTCATAAGTTTACCAAAAGGGGCCACACCCCAACAGACTGAAAACTCAAAACCTATAAACCAATTACATAAAACTTCCCGCACACTACCCGTCGGTCTGTCTGTCTGTCAGTCAATGCAATGCTTTATTGGTTTATTGTAAATTGAACTACAAATAGCACAAATTACAAGCTAGAAATGCCATTTATGGCAATGCAATACGGACCCTAAAGACAAGCCCTTTTTTTTGTGATTCGACTGCTTCAATTTTGAAGGTTTACGCAGGCACTCGAGCGTGCTGAGGCGCATCTATCAAATACATATATACATATATGCCCCATGCCCTATGCCCTTGCAGGCAGTATTAAAAGTTAATCATTAAGTGCGGAACGTTGTGGAAAATGAGATACGCCCGATAAAACCAAAAACAGAAGTGGTAATTTTCGCCTCAGTAAACTTCAAATATATAAAAGTTGAATACAAATCTGCTGCACTACTTATTGCTCATCACTTACTACCTGCCAAACCTCGCTCTGATCTGGCCTTGCCGATCGAAGAAACGGTCCGAGCAATTATCCAAACTCAGTAGGGTTAACTGAACTTCCTCTGACATTGGTGGAAACTTAAATTCTTGGAGTCTCCCATCTCCGATATTCCACAAAGGAAACTGGTTATGCTCCTCCGGAATGAACACGTTTCCTCAAGTTCAGTGATGTAAAGTTACGCGAGAAAAAGAGAATAGGTTGCATTTCATGCTGTATCATAATGAGTCAAACTTAACTCAACTGAGTATTTTTAATCACTTCTGAGTATTTTTAATCACTTCTTATTCCGCCGAAAAACCGCCCTAACCTTACCTATTGCCCAATTTACACCTTTTTTAACTAATTAAACAACAGAGGTGCTAGTTAGAGTATACAGTTTTCGATAGCCAAAAGCAAGCTATTTACTGTTGCTAGCATTTCAGCTTTCCTTTAGTGACACCCACCCAGTGACTGAAACACAGTGCTACGACATTTGGGCGACCTTAGGTGCTGGCTGGTTGGCTGCTGGTTTTCTGGTTGGTAACCACAAAAGGCAACTTCCTGGTAACAGCTTCCACATATCAAACGCAAGAGCAAGCTGTCAAGCAGCCAGGCAGACAGTCAGTCAGTCAGTTAGTCAGTCATCCAAGTTGAATAGACAGGCTCAGGCGGTTAGGCAGGGCAACAGTTAGTTAGCTGATCACGAGCCAATCCGGAAAACCAAGGAGACGACTCGAAGGCAAGTTTTAAAGCGGTATTAAATGATAAAGACTTTTGCGGTTACTAGACTGCCAATAATTTGTTAGCTACTATGTATTATGAGCATGCATAAGTGCATATCTCTTTGCTATCAACTGTGATGCCGTCAACCCATTACCACTGACTGTCTGATCATCATCATCATAATGTGTGGAGTCACATGATATGTGTATTTTCAGTTGCTGTATTATAGGTTCCGCATTAGGTGCGCTCCTTGGTCGATTTTGTCATTTTGTCGTTATTTGATTGCATAAGCTGCGCAAACGAGTAACGAGTACTTAAGTCATGCATCTGAGACAGGCGCGCTTTCTGGCCCAAAGCCCAGGCAAAGGTCAAACATGCCTAAGTGCAGTTTGGAGCAAAATGTCACTGCACACGCTGGCGCTCAAAAAAAAAAAAAGAAAAACAAAAAAAAAACTAACGAGAGTTAACTCATGAAGCTCAGTTGCCCTCCACAAATGTGTTTCCACTCAATTTCAATTGCTGTTACTAAACTAAACGCTAAACAATTCGTACCGAGCCAAACCGAAATGTCTGAGTCTGACAATGTAATGCAAATTTGCGCATTGCAGTTGCTTTTTTTCTTCTGTTTTTTTTTTGGACGCCCATTTATTGCATTTCATTTTTAGCTGGGGGACAACCCTCCCCTTTAGCAACCCTCCCCCCAACAAAATCAAAAAAACAAAACAAAAATTTATGATAATTGTACAAATATATTTCAATTTAGCTTGTTGTGGCCACACTGGGCACATAATTCTTACCCTCAACTTGCTGTTGTGCACGACTGGGGTTGAAATGTGTTGAATAAGAAATGCAAAAGTCAAACTGAAAGTAACACAATCGAGTGAAGAGTTTGGCAAATATAAAAGTTTAGTAAGCAATTAGTTATAAAGTATTTCAAGTCAAAAGTAATCAATTGAAGATGAAATGCTTAAATAAATATTCAAATGCTCAAAGTCACTTATTTAAGCACCCTTACGTAAAATTGTCGTAGACGTCTTTTAGTAATGTATCCACTTTCATAAGTCAAGTCAAAAGATTGGCTATAGAACCGGCAATAAAGTAGGTTAGGGCTATAATACCCACATAGTTCTACTGACATCTTTCATATCAAACTATCGACTAAACTAAAGCCTTTTCACATAGCGTGACAAAACACTAGAAAAAAACTCAAATTTTAGCAGGCCATAAAACAAAATGAGCTACAACAAGACTAACCACATCTGCAAAGGCATAATGTGTGAAAGTGTTGATGCTGCTGCTGCTGATATTTTGCTGTTGTTGCTGACGTTGCAAGCCAACAATTTTACGGTAATTTCCAGAGATGCTACGGCCGGACCCACTCCGTTCCGTTCAGTTCCCCAAAGTACCCTTTTATCGGGCCGAAGTGCGAAAGTGTTTTGAGAGCCAAGAAGAATGCATTTGGCTTGCTGGTTCCCACCATAGGCCCAAAAGACTCGCTGAGGAAATGCGCAGGCGTAGAGAATTCACATGATGATCGTTAGTAGCTGTTGTTGTTGTTGTTGTTGTTAGTTTTTGGGGGCACCCATGAATTGGTAGGTAATTAAAACTACTCGCAACTGCAACAGCAACACCAAGAGTGGTTGCATTTACAACAGACAAAGCAGGCACTGCTGCTGCCTGCAAAGTTCGTAACATGGAAGCGCGAGTTTCTCTACGCCTTCATTTTAATGTATCTTTTAGTAAGCTCAGTTTGTTGTTGGTGTTAATGTTGTTGTTGCTGGTTTTCAATTAAGTATTGCTGTTGTTGTGATGGGTGTGTCTGTGTATGTATGTGTGTATTTGTGTGTGTGTGTGTGTGTGCTTGTGTGTGTGAGAGAAATATGCAGTCTACTCAATGGAGGTCGTTCGCTATTCTCCCTGCTTAGCATAAGGCAATTCCATTGTCTTGTATCATGTGAGAAAACGTGTGCATTCTTAAGGTACCTTCAAATTTTTGTAATTATAAACATTAAGTGAGTCTGTGTATGTGTGTGAGTGTGTGTGTGTGCATTGGGGCCTATTAGAACTAGGTAACCATGAGTAAGATTACTTCTATGAAAACATACAATTTTGTGCATTAGGGTTCTTAAGACTTGGTAGAAAGCGACGAGTTACCTGAGAAAAAATATTGTGATATATAATTAAAAAATAGTCAATTATACATGAAAAACTAGGGGGAAAATATACACCACAAAATATAGTATGATACTGATGTGATTTTATAAAATAACTATCTACAAGATTTCCCAGCACTTTCATCGTAGTTATAATACAGAGGTAATATAAAAAATATATATATCTAAAGGATTTTCGATATATTTCCATTACGAGTTATACGAAACTCGTATCATCGTAGCTCCTCAGCAAATTTCAATAGTATTGATTGCATCGAAATGCAAAGAAAAGCAACTATTGATCGTTGCTCAACACTATGACTTAAGTAACCATTCAGGGTGCTAAAATTAGCTCATGTGATTGATTTGTATGTAAATTTCAAATAAGCCGCTCTAATCTAACAAATCGATTACCACACATGTCCCAGTCATTTGAAGAACTATATGACATTACCATAAATCATGAAAGCTTAATTAAAACACGAACCGGAACCATTGAAAAACACACACAAACACATACTCCCAATAAAAATGACGACGACATTTTACTGCCCACTGAGATGAAAATAAAGCTCATTTGCACAGATTTAACGAGCCATAATTCTAATCTGTAATCGGTCAGCACTTCGAAAGTCCAACTGTGTATAGTTTTAGTGGTTCGGTGGTTGTGACACACGAAAAGATTTTAAACTCTTAACGAGCGATAAAAGGCAAAAACACACAAAATGGAAAACAAAATAGCAACAAAACTTACCTTTCTATGCGAAGAGACAAGCGGCGTGTGCTGATTGTTGTTGTCAAAGGCTGTGAAAGAAACAGAGAAAAAAAACAAACCAGAAATTAAATTGTATTATTGAAATCGGTTACAACTGATAAAGGCCATAAAAAGGTGGCCATTAAATGACATATAATAATGTTATGTACAGTTATAGTGCTTTTCAAAACAATTAATAAATAAATAAATCGATAAACGTAACAATCAAATTGCGATTAAGCTAAAAATTGTTTACCTTTCCAATTGCAGTTGATTTCTTGTTTAAATATGCAAACTGTTTGAATTCCGTTCGTCTTTCTTTCCCCTCTCTCTCTCACCCTGTGTATCTGTGTGTTTTGGTGCGCTTTGCACTTCCGTACTTGATCGCCAAACCCAAGCGAGCAAATATTGTAACAGAAATAACTACATACAACTTGAAACGGGTTCAGCAATCATAAACATGTTGTGCAAACAGACGGACATACCTTCTGCTGAGTTGCGGTTTCGGACGTGATGGGGTGTTGGGAGGGGTGTGATCGGGTGAATTTGGGTTGTCTGGTTTGGGGTGGGGCACCTGACATTACCAACAGCACTTTAACGGAAACATATACATATGTAACAATGATCTACTCAAGAGTAATCAACTCGTAAGATACTCCTTATCCTAGTCTAAAGTGCTCTTAACTAAAGATACCCTTTCCCCTAGTCTAAACTACTCTTAGATAAAGATATCATTTCCGAGACAAAAATTCACTTATATAAAGATACACTTTCCAGTAGACAAAAGTGCCCTTAGATATATTCAATTGATGTTAAATTTTTTAAAAACATTTAAAATATCTTATTTATGTTTACTTCTAAATATTACATATAGAGCTAGGACAGATTTATGATACCCATTCAATGCTCGTTTGATGGGTACAGGGTAGACAAATTGTCAATGAGCCAGCGTCAATTGTATCTCATATGCAACTTATACATATATGTATAAGTTTATCTGCTATAACTCTTGGCTTGGCATTTTGCTTAACAATTAAATGCAATTTTTTTGAAAAACCTGCACAAATTTAGTTGAATCAGCGATTGACTGTCCAAGGTGCTCCGGTTGGTTGGGTTGAGTTCGGTTCGGAGCGGACCGGCCGGCTTTTGAATACAGAGCGAGACAAGCCTCAGACTGACCACAGACCGGACGAACTCTATGGCTCGCCAATTTCGTTTAAAGTTTATTAAGCGTGACTGACATTTGTGAATTGTTTTTATTTGTAATTGCTACGCCCAAAACATGCAATAAATAACTCACAAAATCAAGCAAGTCACACAAAGTTCGCTTATCGATGTCAAAATAAGTTTGTAGATCTATTTGTAACAGATAAGAATGTTGTAAACGGAAATGTCGATACATATATTCAAATACTTGTATGTATATATTTGAATTCGAAAATATAAATATGTATTCCGTTGGAGATTTGCAACCGATCTTCTTTAACAATTCATCGACCTTAATTACAAAAACTGAATTCATTTCAAAATTAGCCCATTTAGCACTTCACATTGTTAAACAAAAAAAAGGTGTCCTTTACCATTAGGCAGTTAGGCTACTAATAAAATTGTCTCCTTCAGTAAAGTAATGGGAGTAAATTACAAAACAAAAAAGGGGATAACAAATGATGCATGTCGCGTTAGTTCTGGTGATTTTACGCCATTAACTTTAGCAGTGTGACCTAAGCCCTTTTTTGGGTGTGCTTGTGCATAAAACTTTGAACTTACAGCACTATTTATGGTTTAGGTTCAGACAGTGAGAAAACTTTGTAGAGTCGGTTTTTATAAGGGGGAAGGCGTTTTTTAAATGTTCAAAAGATGAGCTCAGCATGATATCATAATGCTGTTGACTTTGTGGTCCGTTGTCCATCATTTTCGCAGGAAATGAGTTAACACAAAATAATTTTATGGTAGGCAGGGTCAGAAAGCCCAGTCAGAGTCAGAGCAGAAACAGCAGCTGACTCCTGAGTTAGGGCACATAAAAATTCCATGATGCACGGAACATGCCACGACTTTATAATTATATACAAAAAAATATTCTGCTTGGCATTTCTGCGGGTTCCTCTTAATAATTAATTGACATTTAGCAAAGAATTTCAAAGTTTTTCTTATTTATTTTATTTTATTCTATTCTATTTATTTATTTATTTTTTTTTGTGTTTGAATGAATGAAAGATGTTTGCGCATTGCCGACTCTCAACTGTCGAAATTTGCGTACATTGAAATTTATTAATGGGTGATTTATGAGACAGCCGTTACGATTTGGTCTGCTCTGTGCTGGGGCCTGGGAACATATGTTCAACGCATTGTTTGGGGAATTTATGGACGTTAGGATTTGAAAGTTCATAGCGTCTGAACGCATTCGTCAGGCACATGTGTGAAAAATTATAGCAAGCCGACGAAATTATTAACGATATCGTAGATTATCGGTTCGTTGGATTTTGTGATGGATTAGCGCGTCTAAAGAGTTGAGCTTGTTTGTCTAATCCTCAGTAGCGACTGTCTTGGATTAAGTGGCTTAGCCTTCAAGTGAGCAACTTCGACAATAAGCTAATTGAGACTTCAACCCAGTTGTCCAGTAGTTAAAAATGTATTTTACAATCTTCAGAGTTCATTTTCGGCAAACCTTCTATCACTTCTGCCAGCTATTGCTAGATAATCTTTCATTTATAATTTGTGCATTTTTCTTAAGCGGTAAGAGAGAAAATGTGTATCATAGATTGGATCAACAATATTTTGACTTCCTCAACCTGAGATTTCATGAACAATTCGGATTTTGAGCTTTTTTTTTTTTTTTTTGTTTGCTTACCGCATTTGTTGTTCATATACAATTCTTATCGATTATGACTCATAAATGCGTCAAATTATTAATTTCTAATTGGCCATCAAGAGTGGGCCACACACTTCTGAATATACACACAATTTGTATCTGGGTGTTGCTCATACGTTATCTTTCTATGAACAAAACTGACTGTCATCGTTCAAATTTCTAAGTAGTTGATTATTCTTTATAATGCAGCTTACAATTGACGTCAGTCAATCTACTTTCCTTTCTTTTGGGTTCCCATAACTCTATCTCTCTTAGGTGATGTAAAGTGCTTTACAGGGTATCTTATGGTCTTGTATTTTATATCCTTCATTAGTAAATTGTTATTCACTAAAGTGTTGCCCTTTGCACACACATTAGCTAGCTAAGTGATAAGATTAGATTGCCGAAAAGCTTTTGTTCGGACAAAGCGAAAGACAATTCCGTTGCTGTGGTTGCATAAAGAAAATGCACCACTGAGTACAAATTTTGTGAGCGTGCCTGACGGGCGCGATACTTTCCTCAAGCCACCTGCCAAATCCTATTAATAATTATTACAATAATAGGTAGTTAACATAAAAAAAATCATTTTGTCTGCTGCTGGCTTTCAATTGTGGCCCCCTTGGCCCGCTCCTGTTCCCGTTCCCGTTCCAAAACTTTCCGCTCCACCCACACCTTAAAAGGTCAATAGAAAAGTATAAAACATTTCCATGCTTATCTGACGCTTTTTTTCGCTCATTTTCGTAATAAAGTTTTATGCACGTTATTGCCTTTGCTTTTTGCCAGTTGGTTTTTGTTTATGTTTTAGTTGCTGCTGTTTAACCAAGTGGCCTCATGGCAATTTACTTTCTAATGTCAGGAAAGTCATGTGCAAGAGTCAACATCATTTTCTTACTACAAAAATTATTTATATATAATAAATAAACATGTATTTTCGAAAACTTGGTAAAAAAAAAGAAGTTAAATCAATTTAATGACTAAACTTTTTACCCACGCTGCGTCTAGAAATTGATAAATAATCCCCGCGCACAATACGTGTAATCTATGCAGATTTTTTTCTCCATTTTAGCTACAAAATTTGCTTTCTTGTCGCTAACAAAAAATTGTTGAAAGCGGGGTGTCGAAAGAGCTGAAACGTCGACGCCTTTTAAAAGATAATAATCATTATTATTTATTTCTTTTTTTTGGTTTCTAAGCGAAATCAACAAAAATAGAAAATAAATACTTCATACCCTGATAATTTAAACCTATGCTAATTCTGTTGAACTGAAATGAATTTTGCAATTGTTGGTCGGTTTAAATAATTACTAATTAACAGTAATTTGCATTACAACACCGCTGACAAATAAAAAATGCTTTATTAATCAAATCAGTTGAGGAGGAAAACAACTCAAAACTCACCGAAAATCATATGGGAGTGACCTTTAAAGCGCTGCCTTACTTACAATTAACCGCATGCCGGCGTTTACTTTCAATTATAAATTAATTAATAATCTTTAACGATTCGCTGCAGTTGCTGTTGTGTAGCCGGATAGTTAATCATGAGGAAATGATAGATAGTTTAGTAATTAACTTAATAGCACGCGGGGAGGTATTTACAGTGATCATTAAACTAATTTCAACTAACAATTCGAACAGTTGTGTAAATTTAATAGAATTATTAGATATGTTGGAATTTTATAAAAGGCTTCAAGTATGCGAAAGTAATAATTGATACTTTATTAAAAAATAGCAACAGCCAATGGAGAAAGACATCTGCGGCAATCAATCTGAACAGAGGCAACAGGTCTCATCAAAGCCAAACGTCTCTTAATCCTTTGGAATTATATTAATATCTTTAGGAACAAATTGTCTTAATGGTTTCTTGTAGACAAAGAAGTCACCTAACTAAACTAGGCATAGTCAGCAACGGAATCTATCATTTTTTGTGACAGTGAGAAGGAATTCACTCTTTCATCAACCCCATTAATAATAATAAAAATATCACTAATTATACAGCTCTTAATAATCATTAATTATATTAAAAGCATTTTAGAATTGGGCATTTCAATATAAAGCCAAAAGCAATTTGGGAATAGTTTTGTTGATTACTCTTCCCCAAGATATCGTAACACAATTAAAGAACGGAGCTATGTTATATGCAAGTCACTTAACATTATACTATATATATTTTGTATAGCGTATTTGAAGTTTTGTAGCAATTTA